GGTTGCTGTATGTGTAGCTAAAATGGACATGAACTTTCTTTCGCCCTGTTAAATTCTGTTTTATTAATTGAGTAAGTTTTTAATGTATTTGCTTTTAAATTGCACAGATTTTTCTTTGCACCAGTTTTGTTACTCAAATTCTATTATTTGGAGACTAATTCATCTTTATTAGTTCAGAACATATGCTTCAGCATCCCTAGCATTACTGAAAGCAACCACTTACTGGTTTCCGTACAGCGTGACACAAAACTCATAGAATCAGTGGCAAACAGTGTAATAATCATAAATGTACAGCAAGCACCACACATTTCCTAACAGGCCCCCACACTGCAGAGCCAGGCAGACTACAGTACATCGCAGTGCATGACTATGGCTCACTGTTAAAGTGCTCTTTCAAAGCCACCCTGAGCCATATAGCTCCATGCTGAGCTCTTGTAATCACCCTTGTGCTTGACTGTTCAAACTCAGCAGACAGCTGCTCTACCTCTGCCCTCCACCCCAATGGGGACTTTCCCACCTTTGCTTCACAGATATTGTGCAGGACACAGCAGGCAGCTGTAATCAGTAGGATATTTTTTTCACTGAAATCCAATCTTGTGAGTAAGCACTGCCAGCATCCATTCAATCTACCGAAAACATATTCAACTGTCATTTTGCACTTGCTGAGTCAGTAGCGGAATCTTTCCTTGGTGCTGTCGAGGTGGCCAGTGTATGGTTTCAGGTCCAGAGGAGCAAGGCATAGGCTGGGTCCCCCAGGATCACTATTGGCGTTTCAATATTGCTAATGGTAATCAGCTGGTGCTAAAAGGAAGTCCCTGCTTGTAGCTTTATGAACAATCCTATGTTCTTAAAGATATGAGAATCAGACTCTTTCCTGACCAGCCAACATTGATGTTGGTGAAACTTCCCCAGTAATCCACCAATACTTGCATAACCAGAAAAAAGTAGTCCTTTCAGTTGAGTGGCAAGGTGGTCTGGTGCCAAAATAGGATACATGTCTATTGCCCCACCGCAGTTCAGGAACCCCGTTGCTGTAAATCCATCCACTATGTCCTGCACATTGCTGAGAGTCACAATCCTGCATAGCAGGAGGTAATTAATGGCCCTGCACACTTGCATGACAATTGCCCCGACAGTCGATTTTCTAACTCCAAAATGATTACCCACTGACTGGTAGCAATCTGGTGTTTGAGACCATCACTTGCTTCTTCGCTCTCAGTGCAGCACTCATCGTGGTGTCCCTGCGCTGGAGGGCTGGAGCAAGCTCAGCACACAGATCGAGAAACGTGGCTTGGTACATCCGAAAGTTCTGCAGCCACTGCTCACCATCAGCCTGAATTACAATGCGATCCCACCAGTCAGTGGGCCCAGAAGCAGTGCTCCGCCATCTGCAACTGCTCCATGAATGTCACCAAAATACTTGAACTGATTCTTGCTATGTCCCACAGCAATCTGTCCTCCATAACATTGTGATGTTCCCTGCTGATTCCGTTCTTCTTGCAGCTCTGCAAATACTGGAGTATCGGCGTGTGTTCTGTGATTGCAACACTTACAACAATAGTGCAGAGCTGTGCAGGTTCCATGCTTCTGTCAGAGATGGTGAACAGTGAGGAGGGCTGTGCAGATTCATGGGATTTTTTAAAAAGCTGTGAAAATTATGGGCTATGCATGACATTATGGGATGGAGAAAGTTGCACACTGGAAAGTTGACCCCTTGCTACCTGTTACCCCTCATGACTCATTTTTTTCCTCACCATGCATTGCCAAAACTTCCCCAAGACAGTGCACAGGATGGTGGTGGGTTGCACCCTGGGACACCTAGCTATGGTGCACTGCATTGTGCATTGACACACTATGCTTACGAAGTTGCTTATTTCCTACAGAAATCTTTTCCTTATTTCCCTTCTCTGGGCCTCCCTCTAGGACACACTACAGTAGTGAGCACTACTATGCTCACTACAGTGGGATCCTGCCTTTGTTCAGCTGCAAAGGGCTTGCAGCTAACAGCTGGAACAGTTCTGTCAGTGACAGGCACTCCACCCCCCTCCCTTCCTGATGAGGTGCTGCCTTCAACTGCAGTGCAAGAGAGAGTCTCAACTCCACCCACACCTGGAAGCATGCTGCTTCACTTTGCTGCAGAGGAATCAAAGAGACTTTCTCCCTTTCCTTCAGCAATTCCTGGGACTTTACCCTTTTCCTCTGGGGTCCGAGCATAATATTCCTTCTTGCAGAGCTCCATGGAAAAAATCATTCCCAATAAGCATGTCAATGGGGATATTTTCATTCTCAACTGATGCTCACAGTCTCTCTCTTTTTCTGCTACCTGCAGTCTGTTCAGCTCTAACTTTGCAACTGCATCACTCTCATCCATTTTTATGCCTTTCTGCTCCTATTTCCCTTTCCCAAAATAAGCAAACAGAAAATAACAGAAGTGTAACTTTTTTTACTGTATTCAGCCAACCCACCTAACATCTCGGCACCAGTGTATGAAGTGCAAATCTCACTCAGAACAACAAGCTGTGCATTTCAGTCTGCTCGCTGCACCACTCTGACATGTCCCCGGGATACAACCTAGACTGTGAGACCACGGAGTCCCATTACATTCTCCAGCCTGGGCTGTCTCTCACAATGCTATGCTAGTGACAAGCAATAAATCTCTCCAGATGCTATGATCACTCACCCATCAATATGTAGCTACACACACCCAGTTGAGTTGTATGAATGCTCCCTAAGCCACACATGAACTGTATAAAGAGACACCAGCAAATGTCCCCAGCCCCAAGCCGTGCACTCCAGTATTGTGCCAGCTTACACTGCTCAAGACTCCCTAGACAGTGCAAGCTCATTAATTAGTTTGCCACTTCGTCAAAGGAAAGTGAACATGCACCAATCTTTGTAATCTAAACAGATTCCCCAAGCACTTCAACCCAAAACACACTGTTTTAGATAAAATATAAAAGAGATTTATTAACTACAGAAGGCTAGATTTTGAGTAATTATAAGGGGTAGGCATAGAGATCAAAGTTGGTTATATAAGAAATATAAATAAAATTTCAGCCTAAATTCTACAGACAAAGCAAGATTTCAATCAAGCAGTTTCTTGCCCCTCTAGATGTTCCAGCAGTTGACAGTTCTTATTACACAGGCTGAATTTCCTTCTTACCCTGGGACCAATCTCCACAGTTCAAGGTTTTTGTCTTCCAAATTTCTTGTTGCCTTCAGAGTAGGTATTTCAGCCCTTTCCTTGCCAGCTTCTGTGAGCAGGGCCTGCCTCTGGCTCACAGCTTAACTTTGCTTTATGTTAGCAAAGTCTTGACCATTACTTTAGTTCAGGCCTTAGGCCTCATACCAGGCCTCTGATACCAAGGTTTATATCTCAGGGCCTACTCTTACTACAATATGCACTGTAAAAATGATAAACAAAAGAAATAGAATTCTTTAATTCACCTCATACAGGTACTGTAGTGCAATCTCTTTATCATGAAAGTATAACTTACAAATGCAGATTTTTTTTTGAATACATAACTGCACTCAAAAAACAAAACAGTGTAAAACTTTAAAGGCTACAAGTCCACTCAGTCCTACTTCTTATTCTACCAATCGCTAAGACAAACAAGTTTGTTTACATTGACGGCAGATACTGCTGCCTGCTTCTTATTTACAATGTAACCTGAAAGTGAGAACAGGCGTTCACATGGCACTTTTGTAGCCGGCATTGCAAGGTATTTATATGCCAGGTATGCTAAACAGTCGTATGCCCCTTCATGCTTCGGCCACCATTCCAGAGGACATGCTTCCATACTGATGATGATCGTTAAAAAAATAATGCGTCAATTAAATTTGTGACTGTACTCCTTGGGGGAGAATTGTATGCCTCCTGCTCTGTTTTACCCGCATTCTGCCATATATTTCATGTTATAGCAGTCTCGGATGATGACCAGCACATGTTGTTCGTTTTAAGAACACTTTCACAGCAGATTTGACAAAACGCAGAGAAGGTACCAATGTGAGATTTCTAAAAATAACTACAGCACTCGACCCCAGGTTTAAGAATCTGAAATGCCGTCCAAAATCTGAGAGGGACGAGGTGTGGCACATGGTTTTAGAAGTCTTAAAAGAGCAACACACTGATGCGGAAACTACAGAACCCAAACCACCAAAAAAGAAAATCAACCTTCTGCTGGTGGCATCTGACCAGATGAGGAAAATGAACATGCGTTGGTCCGCACTGCTTTGGATCATTATTGAGCAGAACCCATCATCAGCATGGACACATGTCCTCTGGAATGCTGGTTGAAGCATGAAGGGACATATGACTCTTTAGCGCATCTGGCACATAAATATCTTGCACTGCCAGCTACAACCGTGCCATGCGAACGCTTGTTCTCACTTTCAGGTGACATTTTAAAGAAGAAGTGGGCAGCATTGTCTCCTGTAATTTGTAACCAGGCTTGTCTGTCTGAGTGATTGGCTGACCGAGAAGTAGGACTGAGTGGACTTGTAGGCTCTATAGTTTTACATTGTTTTATTTTTGAATGCAGGTTTTTTTGTACATAATTTTACATTTGTAAGTTCAACTTTCATGATAAAGAGGTTGCACTACAGTATGTGTATGAGGTGAATTGAAAAATACAATTTTTTTTACAGTGCAAATATTTGTAATCAAAAATAAATATAAAGTGAGCACTGTACACTTTGTATTCTGTGTTGTAATTGAAATTAATATATTTGAAAATGTAGTAAACATCAAAAAATATTTAAAATAAATGGTATTCTATTGTTGTTTAACTGTGCGATTAATCGTGATTAATTTTTTTAATCGCTTGACAGCCCTACTATATATACATTCCTAGAAAGCCTTTTTTGTAGGTGTAATTTACAAAGCCAGTATGGAAATGAATTAATGAATGAATATAATGTAGGTCACACAAAAACCTGAATCCTTGTTTGAGCATAGAAATAGTGCAATCTAATCTATTAATTAATAGTAAACACCTTACCCAGTGGGAAGGACAGATAGTAAATTGAAGGACATGTTAAGGATCCTAAGTGTCTTGAGTTTGTGGACATCATCAGGGATCTCTTTGATGGGGTTGTTTCGGAGCTTCAGTACTTCTAAGTTTTTAATATTATATACCTTGGGGGGAAGAGGTAATGGAAAAAAAGTTATTACCACAAAGACAGTCTGATTCCTGTTATGGCAAGAGTTTCTACATTTCTAACATTAGTAAGTGACACTGTAAGAACTAGAAACAAAGAAACTGTCCTAATATTGTATGAATCTTGTATTTAATGTATAGCAGTAGCTAATTAATAATGTTATTTTAGTTAAAGTACCTTATCATGTGGTTTCTGGGCCTGATCCTGATCTCACTTATACTCCTATAGTATTATAGGTTGGGCTGGTAGCACTGTCTACTATTAAGGTTGTCCTACACTTCCCGTTACAAAAACATGTTTTCAGTTGCTTATAACTTAGCCAAACTAACTGTTTTGGCTGAAATTTTCCATGCTGGATGTCTGCCACAGGCTGAATCTTTTTGGAAAATTTCAGCCAAAACAGTCAGCCATTTTGAAGAATGAGGCTAGGGAAAAATACATTATTTTGACTATGTTAAAAATCTGATTAAAATATTTTTTTAAAGTTCTAGTACTCCCATACTTTGGGATTTAAAATGTGGCAGAGGGGTGGCCTTTGTGTCCAGTGGCGTAGCCAGCTTCTCAGTGCAGGGGGAGGAACCATAAAACGGTGCCCCCCCTTGGCTTCTCCTCTGGCCACGCCCCTCCTTGGCTTCTCCTCCGGCCGCTCCGCGTCCCCGCCCACGGCTCCTCCGGCCATGCTGCGGCCATGCTGCGCCCCCACTCGGAGGGGCTCTTCTCTGGACTTTCTCCAATTTGTCCACATCTTTCCTGAAACGTGGCACCCAGAACTGGACACAATACTCCAGCTGAGGCCTTATCAGCACAGAGTAGAGTGGAAGTGGTTAAAGAAACTGAATGCTGCCCTCGAGAATTTGATTCTACTCCTACCTCTGCCATAGAGTTCCTATGTGATACTGGGCAAATCACTTAAACCAAACTTTTACCAGGTGGTCACTAATTGTGTGTTCCTCATTATATGGGTGCCCAGAGTGAGACCCTGGGGCTTTATGTGCAGAAGTGCTGAGCACTCACAGCTGCAGCTGAAGTCAATGGAAGCTGTGCTTTGAACATACATAGGGCCCTACCAAATTCATGGCCATGAAAAACGCATCACAGAGCATGAAATCTGGACTCCCCCTCCTCCCCCGGTGAAATCTGGTCTTTTGTGTGCTTTTACCCTACACTATACTGATTTCACCGGGGGGTGGGGAGGGGGGAGACCAGCGTTTAACAAACTGGGGGTCCTGACCCAAAAGGGAGTTATAGGGGGGGTCACGGTATTACCACCCTTACTTTTGTGCTGACTTCAGAGCTAGGTGACCAGAGAGTGGCGGCTGTTGGCCAGACGCCCATTTCTGAAGCTAGCTTCCCGCCAGCAGCAGCACAGAAGTAAGGGTGGCAAAACCATACCATGCCACCCTTACTTCTGCGCTGCTACTTTCAGAGCTGGGCAGCTGGAGAATGGCGACTGCTGACTGAGGGCCCAGCTGTGCAGGCAGCAGCGCAGAAGTAAGGGTAGCAGTACCGCTACCATGCCATCCTTACTTCTATGTTGCTGCTGGAGGCGGCTCTGCCTTCAGAGATGGGGTCCCAACCAGCATCCACTGCTCTCCAGCTGCCCAGCTCTGAAGGCAGCACCACCGCCAGCAGCAGCGCAGAAGTAAGGGTAGCAGTACCGCCACCCCTCCTACAATAACCTTGTGACCTCCCCACAACTCCTTCTTGGGTCGGAATCCCTACAATAACAACACCATGACATTTCTGATTTAAATAGCTGAAATCATGAAATTTACGATTTTTAAAATCCTATGACCATGAAATTAACCAAAATGGACCATGAATTTGGTAGGGCCATAAACATACATATACTGTGCTATATAATGGTAAGTACTCTGAAAAATCAGGTTCCAGGATCACAAACTGGGCTCCCAAAATTAGTGGATAGTTTTGACTTTAATCTCTTTGTGCCTCAGCTCTCCATCTGCAGAAGAGGGATAATAAATACCCACTCGTCTCACAGAAGTGTGGTGAAAAATCAAGTCACCAATGCTTGTGAAACACTCAGATGCTATAGTTCTGAGCGTTATACAAAGCCCCTGAGAAATTTAATACTTCTGACTTCAGAGTAGGATTTGAATAATGTGCAGTAAGTAAAGCCTACAGCCACACACTGAACAATGAGGAGAAAAAAATATTGACTAGCTGCTTATTAGTTGAGTACTGTCCATCCTGTGCACTGAACGAGGCATGGATTCTGTGGAAAAAGTAGTATGTGATCATGTAATTGAGGACTGGATCATAGCATATGCACAAGGGAGTTGAATAAAGATTGCACAGGCAACTTTAATTCTGGAATTTCCTAACTTTTGAGTTCTTGACTTTGCAACTGGATTAAGGTTCTTTCAGAGTATTTTTTGTGTGTAATATTAGTATCAACCCATAGATTGGTGCCCTATAAATGAGGATAAGTTTAAAACAGGAATAACTTCCCATTGAAGTCAACTGAGTGACACTAGTATAAAGCAAGATCGGAATGAGATCTTCAGACACTGATGCAGAGATATTTCTAAATCTTGTTGGAATCTTTCCAGGCTCACATTGATTCTTACTATCCCATAAATAACCAGAAAAGTAAAGGAATGATGTTTTTCCAATATCTGAGCTATGCAATTTGCATCTCTTATTAAATCATTGTTGTTTGGAAGTTACATTTTTTTATGTTTAGTTTAATATTAAACTGTAAAAATTCAGGCTGTCTTACAGTTTTACTCTTAATAACAATAAGTAAATAACTGGTACATACCTCCCTGGGAAAGAAGTGTAAGTCATTGAATGACAGGTTAAGATACACCAAAGTGTCGACTAAAGGTGTAAGGTCTGGAAGGAGAGTCAGGAAATAGGCCTAGAAGACATAAGCAGTAGAAAAGATATATTAACTAAATAAAAATCAACTTTTTTTATCAAGAGGAAAAAAAACGAGCTAAGAACAGGCTCCACCAGGACTTAATTTAAAAGATTTATCATTAAAAAAATAGACAAATCAGCAACATGACTCCATTGATAGATACATAGAATCATAGAAGTGTAGGACTGGAAGGGACTTTGGGTTATCTAGTCCAATTTCCTGTACTCAAGGCAGGACTAGACTATTCCTGACAGGTGTTTGTCTAACCTGTTCTTAAAAACCTTCAATGACGGAGATTCCACAACCTCCCTAGGCAATTTATTCCAGTGTTTAACTATCCTGACAGTTAGGAAGTTTTTCCTAATGTCCAACCTAAACCTCCCTTACTGCAATTTAAGCCCATTGCTTCTTGTCCTATCCTGAGAGGTTAACAAGAACAATTTTTCTACCTCCTCCTTCTAGTAACCTTTTATGTACTTGAAAACCGTTATCATGTCCCCTCTCAGCCTTCTCTTCTCCGGACTAAACAAACCCCATTTTTTTCAATCTTTCTTCATAGATCATTTTTCTAGAACTTTACTCATTTTTGTTGCTCTCCTCTGCACTTCCTCTAATTTGTCCACATCTCTCCGGAAATGTGGTGCCCAGAACTGGACACAATACTCCAGCTGATGCCTTATCAGCGTGTCTTGCTTACAATATTCCTGCTAATATATCCCAGAATTATGTTTGCTTTTTTGCAATAGTTTTACACTGTTGACTCATATTTAGCTTGTGACTCTAAACCCCAGATCCCTTTCCACAGTTCTCCTTTCTATGCAGTCATTTCCCATTTTGTGTGTGTACAACTGATTGTTCCTTCGTAAGTGGAGTACTTTGCATTTGTCCTCATTAAATTTCACCCTATTTACTTCAGGCCATTTCTCCAGTTTGTCCAGATCATTTTGAATTTTAATCCTATCTTCCAATGCACTTGCAACCAACCCCTCCCAGTTTGGTATCGTCTTCAAACTTGATAAGTATACTCTTTATGACACTTTCTAAATCACTGATGAAGATGCTGAACAGAGCCAGACCCAGTACCAATCCCTGTGAGTCCCCACTTGATATGTCCTTCCAGCTTGACTCTGATCCACTAATAACTACTCTCTGGGAATGGTTTTCCAACCAGTTATGCACCTACCTTATAACAGCTCCGTCTAGGTTGTATTTCCCTAGTTTGTTTATAAAACGGTCCTATGAGACAGTATCAAATCATTATGCAAGGAGCATCAAAAGATTTGCCTAGCTGAGGGCCATATTGGCAACTCAAAACTCTGTCTGCCTTGCCTCTCAGCTCCCATTTCATTGATCTCCCCTTCCCTCTTGCATCTAGGGTGACCAGATATCCCGATTTTATAGGGACAGTCCCGATATTTGGGGTTTTTTCTTATATAGGCTCCTATTACCCCCCACCCTCGTCCCGATTTTTCACACTTGCTGTCTGGTCACCCTACTTGCATCAAATTTAAGCTACTTGTTCCCACTTTCTATGCTCTGCATGGCCTAGTTCCTACTTTTATCTCTTATTATGCCCTCATTGAACAAAATATACTGGGCTCTTTCCTGTGATCTTCCTAAGGTGCATGGAATGAGTACTCTGGGGCTGTCTAGCTAAATAGGTTCTGGGATGTACACATGATGTTTGCAACTCAGAGCTCCAGAGTTCTAGAAAGTGAAGCTTCTTCTTTTCATTTTTTAAAAGCCCTTTCTTTCAAAGCTAGGGAACCCCATACAAAAATCTATGGTAAAAAAATATGAATTAATGATTTTTACTCAAATCAGGAAATTAAGTTACGGTTGCATGCACAATCTTTGTCTACACCCTTGGTATAAATAGTTTGATACAGTATTTAATTACATCATATATTATAATCTCAATACATTAATATACTTTTCTCTACAACCTTACATCTATTTATATGCAGTAACTATTTCCTTGTAAGCTAGAATTCATGAGTCATTTCTATGAAAATTACATAGTAAACCACACCTACTAGCAGATACTACAGATTGAATACAAACTGGGAGCAATAATAAATAGTTGAATAAATATTAAGCATTATTATACTGACAGATCAATTGTCAATGCTTTGACTCAACAGATCCATACATTACATGAAAACAGAAATAATTAAAAACAGCAAGTACATAACAGGGCCGAATTGATGCCAGGCAAGGTTCTAGAAACTTTAGACTGTGATGTCTCTGGCCTTCTAGAAAGAGGGTTGGGCACCTTTTCCCACCTTCAGGATCTTGCCACTCCTACTTGCATGGTGCTGAAGCAATCTGATGGCACTACGGGAGGAGAAGAAGCAGCAGTGTGTTCAAACTCTGTCCACTATTGCTGGAGGTGCTGGGAGCCAGCAGATGTCACATAAATCATGAGGTGTACCGGAAAAATGAGGAGAGACACACAACATAACGGAAGAAGAGTGAGGGTGAAAAATGGGAGGAAATAGATAATACAGAGGGAGACCAAGGTGAGGCAAGAGAATTAAGAAGGCGCATCTAGAACAACCAATCTTAAGACTACTCTAAAATTACTAAACAAATCTTAAATGATTTTAGCCATTTTTAATTTTTAAAAAGTGGCCATATACTGAGAATTTTAATACCAGGTTCTAGGTGGATTTTAAGTTAAGAAAGCCAAGTTATGAATCCCAGGGAAACTGTGTTTCTAATTAAAGCAGCAGTTGACCATTAAGGATAGCGATATGGAGAGTGGGTGCAGTTGTAATTTTTAAAAGGTATACCTTAAGATTAAGTTCAGTTCTGCTATGCATTATGCAATATAAAACTGCCATTCTGGCCCTGGCCATCAGTTGTTCTTGTTCATCCTGCTCACTTAACAAATTCTGGTACCCGAATCCCTGGATACCCTTTATAGTATCATCATCAAGGGTACGATCAGGTTCTGCAAGTAAAAAACACATGTAGTCAAATATGGAAATAAACATCGAGATTAGGAAATAAAGAACTAAAGCTTCATTATGTAGATCCCAAATGTATAGCCAAATCCTTCCATGCACTGTTAGGCCTTACTCAGGCAAAATTCCCTGATACAAATCAGCATCTTAGCAATGCCTGGGTAAAGACTCCAGAATTTGACCCTTTAAAAGCATTCAAATTTATTCAACTTTTTTTTTGAAGGGTGAGCAGCAGAATGGGTTTCAGCTATTGATAAAAGGGCCTGAGCAGTGACTTTGGAATTGGAGCAGAACTTTCCTAAAGTTTGGGAGCATTTTGTTCCGGTCCATCTGTAGCTTCAACCCACAACAGATGACGTTAAAGAGACTGAAGATTTTGATTCTGTTTAGATAAACCATTAAAGTCTACATTTTCAGAAGTGGCAATTGATTCTGAGGGTTTTAATTCTGGGAAGCTCAAACCATGGCACAAGCTTGGGATGAATTTCAGGTTTGGTTACAAAAGCTTTCTACCACTCTTACTGTTAACAGCCCAAATGGATTCCTCACTCACTAGTTTAAGACCTTAAAATCCAAAAGCCCAACAGAGTGAAAAGCTTTGTCTCTGAATTTCCTTCCTGTCTTGGTTTTATTGTAATTGTACATTTCTATTATTTATTATTATAACATCCATTTCATTCTCCCCTTAAAAATGGCATGCAGTATTGGGAGTTGATAGTAGGACTGCTCTTCATCTTTTATATTGCCATTACAAAACTGCCACTACAGTGCTGTACATAGTTTATTTCATACACGTAATGTATATATCTTACCCCTACCTGAATAAGAGACTTTTTTGCTCTGTCCATGAGGGTACAGCTTTATATTGTCCATAAAAGATCCTTTTCCTTCATCACCTTCTTCTAAAATCTGTTCAAATGAGTTAGATTTTCTCATTTTCTCCTCCAAAGCCATTTCTGAAAAAAGTTGGGAGTGGTGGTAGAAGGGGTATGTGAGAAATATATTAACTTAGTCAGACTACCCCATTTCTCATTTACAGAAAGCACCATTTACACAGCTCTGGCAGCATAAATGGACCAGCAAGTCAGTGTTTGCTTTTAAGGCCCCTTTACATTACCAGAGCAGCATAAAGGGACATAGGCCTGGTCCACACTAACCCCCTACTTCGAACTAAGATACGCAACTTCAGTTACGTGAATAACGTAGCTGAAGTCGAAGTATCTTAGTTCGAACTTACCGCGGGTCCACACGCAGCAGGCAGGCTCCCCCGTCGACTCCGCGTACTCCTCTCGTGGAGCAGGAGTACCGGCGTCGACAGTGAGCACTTCCGGGATCGATCCGGGATTGATTTATCACGTCTAGACAAGACGCGATAAATTGATCCCAGAAGATCGATTGCTTACCGCCGGATCCGGAGGTAAGTATAGACCTACCCATAGTGTAAATGACCACCAGGGAACGGAATTTCTTATCATAGAGAAGCTGGCATGTGTCATAGGACAGCTATCTGCAATTCCTGATGCACTATTTCGCTAGTATTCCTAGCAGTCATTTAAAAAAAAACCCCATACCTATATTCCCACTAAAATGCACTGTAGGCTTATCTTAGAGTTAAGATTGATGCACTGTTTTTCCAGCCAATGCAAACCATAAGAAGAAAGGAAATATGCATCTATGTCATCAACAGCCCATCTGCACTCCACTCATCAGTTCCCTTTCTCAACCTCAGCTCCCTCCCTTCCACCAATCACAATTCACTTATCTCCACCCATTTTGAATAACCAATGTGCAGCCTCAACACCACAACCACATTAATGGTTGTGTTCATATGATTAAATATAGAGTTGGTGTGGTTTCATGTTCCATTTTACATAATTCTATACATAGTTTTGTACTGGGGTGTGTAAAAGAGATAGAGGGTAAGATTGCAAATGGTGGCTGCAAACTATGTTTTTATATAACATTCAGGAAATGTTAAATAAATGGGTGATTTATCTGGTTGGTGCTGGGCCCAAATTTGGAAGCAATTTTAATGTAAAAGTAACAGAATTGAAATATGCACGTGTGTCTGCTGGTGTGTTGTATTTACAGTGGGAGTTGAGGGCCTATTTGTTCAGGATGAGGGTGGAGATATATATTAATATTGACAGTTCTGAACTACAGATCGTGCAATCAATTTAACGACAAAATGCCATTACTATCTGGTTACAGTGTGTATTCATTTTAACGTTCCATGCAACCCTTGAAATAAGTGTCTCTCTAAGAAATATTTTAAGAAAATAATGGGTGAATATTGCCTACTCAACTTTTTTCTACTCATCACCCTTCTCCAGAAAAAATACATTAAAAATGTTTACAATATTTCAGGTCATAAAAGGCCAAACCTGTAAATTAGCACAGAGACATAACAGAACTGGACTGTCTGACCAGTCCTAGAATCAGGTCAGATTCTTACATTTTCATTAGTAAACAAAAATTACATTTAGTGACAGTTAAGGCTTGCTTACTTCCCCTTTGTGAATCACTACTAATTTAGCTACAGGAATAATTGCTCACCCCTTTCTAGAGGCATCAGAGGAGACTAGACACACTTTCACAGTGAGTTACCCACCTATTTAGTAGTTAATATAAAATTGGTGAGTGGGAATCACCAGTTGATTCTATCCCTGGCTCTGGAAGAGGAGTACAGTTTACAGTGGTGAAAGATAGGCTAACCAAAACTAGGTTAGTTGTTCTAAAAGGTCATGGCACAGTGGCTAAACTTGGGATTGTGTATGCCATAAACTTGGCTTTTAGGCCACCAGTGATTTCACAGTAAGCCCTATCTCTTGGCATGTTATTTATCGTTGAATTAAAATTCAGTGGGTTTGCTTTGGCACACATTTTCTGTTACAGCTGAAGAGGTATAAAATATAGATGAACAATACCGATGTATAACCGATATTCTAGGAATCAGCATGTGAGGATTAACAATCTGGACAAAAGATAGGTCCCAGAGAGTTGCAGAGTTTTTGCAAAAGGGATACAAAGAAGAGTGAGGCAATCCAGGGAGGCAGTGGAAGAAGGAATCATAAGAAAGGGTAATTTTATTATTATTCTCTATCAATTCATTTTTCATCACACCATCATGAAAAATTCAAACAATGCTCAAAGTTTATATTCTATGTTTTGGTTTTTGCCTATTCAATGACATATTTTCTATATATATATAAAAGGTTAAAAGTTATGCTGTAACACAATCTTAACTGTAGCACAGGCCCTGCTGCACCATAATTTTATCAAACATTATTTACTTAGAGGTAGAAAATTGGAAGAAATATGGTTCTCTAGTGCCTGTCTCTCTTGGGAGCAAAGGAAGTTGATTGTGGGAGATACACTCATCTTCTCCTAATCAAAGATCTCTGCGTAGTGCTTTAGACTTGGAGGAAAGCCATAACAACCCAAGATCCCTGGTAACATGGGGCCTGATCCTGCAAACCATTACTCTCCCGTGTGTAGTCAGTGGGGCCATCTATATGAATAAAGACTACTTGCATGGCAACAAGCCTTTGCAGGAATGACCCCATATTGTTGCCTTGATTTGTCAACCCGTTCAACCCTGTGCACATAAGCAAAAACCACTATGGTTAGAAAGCCCAATCCATTCATTACCCAGAAATACCATCAGAGTCCTACTGAAGCCAGTGGGCCCAGTTCACTGTTGTCCTGCACCTTATGTAGTCATTTAGACCTAGATTCTTAAAGGTGTTCAGATGCTGCTGTACTCAGGAGCCTAAACCTTATTTTCACTTAAGAGCCCAAATCCTACTTACTGGCAATGGGATTTAGGCTCTTCAGTGCCTAAATCACTTCTGAAAATAAGATTAAGGCTCCTATATCAATTAGGCAATGCAACACTGAACTCAGCAACACCTAAATACCTTTAAAAATCTGGGCCTTACACTAGTATAAATGATGGCAAAATGATAGTAAATCAGAATATTAGCATTTTACACTCATTTAAATGACTACACAAGATGCAGAGCTACAATGAACTGGGCCTAGAAGGACTCTGTGCAGGTGTTAGGACCATCTTTCATGGATCCCGTTGCAGGATTAGGGGCCAGTTTTCAAAGTCTCAAGCAATGGGGCTTTAAACACTTTCCTTATATTATTAAGTATTTTAAGATATTCTTAGTATAAATTGTTACCTGTTGTTAACGTTTTTAAAAATAAAGTTAGTTTAGTTATTACTAGCTACAATTTTGCACTTTCTAGTTCTTAAATGATGATGTAAAATTCTCACAAACAGACAAATGGCAAAGTTTTTTTCCTGTAAAGGAGGCCTATTTTGGAAATACTTTCAGTAAAAATCATGCACAGACAAAAGTGAATTAGAACACTTGACAATGTAAAATACAGTACCTATGATACTCTGTCTCTCAGGCTTTCTTCGTGAAATTACTGGGAACTCCTCATTATTGGACAATACCGTTGTGTTAACTTCAGTCTGTATGCTCTTTCTCACTTTATTGGTCAACTGGGCACTGAGTTTTTGATAGTTACAGCGAGAAACAACTGGCTTTCTAAAGGCTGACATCACAGGTGATGGGTGAGAAGAGGACACTGCAGCTAAGCTCCCAAAGGTAAACTCTGGTAAAGTAAAATAAGCAGGCTCATCCTTCGGTAAACCAAGAAGCTGCATGCGAAAGGATTTACGACGTTTGTGTAATGGGAAGTTGGAGGGACCACTAGGAGTTGGAGCTATAATAATATCTTTTTTAAGAATTTGATCAGGAAAAAGATTTTGGACTTTGAGTTGGACTGATGTTCGACTGCTTGAATAATAGCCAGAAAGAGTAATTCTATCCTTGTCAGTTGTGCTTGCAGCAGCAGCAATGTCTGGTAAAGACCAACAAACAGAGTCACTCTCCTCGGGGGGAGCCAGAACCTCCATGTCAGAGGATCTACCATCTTTCTGCGATGGGCAGCCAGCAGGTGTACAAAAATAAGGAGCAGTAAGAGTCAACACCTTTTTTAGATTTTGATCAAGAAGGACGTGTGTATCTTTGGGATGGACTTGTGTTTGACCACTAGAATTTTGGTCAAGAAGGAGATGTGCATCTTTGGGCTGGACTTGTGTTTGACCACTGAAATAACTACTGGAAAAAATATTACTGTCTTTCTCATTTGTGCTTCTTATCACTCCAGGTCGGTCTTTTCCAGGAATCCTGTCTGGAGAACACAAAAGAAAGAAAAGTGAGGATACATTTATAACTAGGCATACATTTCACACCTTTTCCAAGAAAATATTGCGATTGACTCAAACTGGATGCTTCAGAGAGAATTTCCCCTATACTGAGTAAACACAGACAAATAATAATTTAAAAAAATCAACCCTACTGCATCACAAAATGTTTTACTTTGTACATTTATTTGACAAGTATAATTTAATTTTAAACAAAGTAAACAACACTGAATGATCTGTAGTAATTTTGTAAACATGTGAGTAAGTGTTAGACATCTATATTTAGAATGCTTACAATGAGCCACACGGATTAGTGAAAAACTAATTACTGAGGTTCTACTGCACATAAAACTTGATTACTGTGATAGTTCTGAGAGTGCTGAATCAAAGATCAGGGTCCCACTGTGTGAGGCACTGGACACACATAACAGAAAGGCAGTCCTTGCTGCAAGAAGCTTGTAGGGGCTCTCTCTGGGGCAGTGTTACTCCACAGAACCCTACCATGGGGCTGTGACTGAAAGCCACAATTTAATCCTTTATGAACTGTGTTGCTCCAAAGAACAATATATACCACCTTGAACAAGAAGAAGCAAATTAAATTAATGTCCACTGGTTAAATTACCAAATGGCTGATTTGTTAATTTACCAACAAATAATTTCAAACTATTAGCCAGTCATAAACTGACATATTTAGTTTCTAATAATGGTCACTTGGACTAACATCCATCCCATTATGAAGGACCCACATAAGGCTCTCTATACCATCTAGGCCCCATGATAGCCATGCTTGTGGGGAGTGGAGGCTCAGGCAGAAGCAACCATTCAGGGGGCTTCCACATCCCCTAAACTACATGATGTGGGCTCTGTGCCGGCTTCAACTAGGATGATGCAAATGAGACCAGCATGATAAGCCTGTGAGAAGACACTTAAATGGTGAATATAGGGTCCAGTGCCAAAAATTTCCACAGAAGGGCTCCAAAGGAGCTGCAGCCTTTTTTCCAGGCCACCAGCTAGAAGAGCAGTCACATAGGATTCCCTGTGTATTGTCTGGATTAGTGCCCCACCTTCCTGGGAATAGGTTCATCTTATTCTTAAGGAGTGAACTGGTCTCATACTTGATGAAACACAGAACCAGTGTGTTCTCCAAGGTGATCATATTACCATTACTGAAAAGCTGGATTCTGATCAATGGTCACTCCACTTTATAAACATACATCAAATGTAATGACTGCATTTTGTGGTGCGTGAAGTGATCCTTGAATGTACTTTATTGTGCAGCACTTTGATTCTTGTCAGGGTACTGTATAAATCTATACGTTCTAAATAGCATTCATCACTAATCATATGTTATAATAGAAAAAAGCCATTGCAACAGAACACTGTCTCTGGATAAAAGGTTTATCATTTTTAAATAGTTTTAAATCAGTGGAGCAGAGCTCTGGTATTGAGCCAGAAATATTTAGATACATTTTGGATGGTGCCAGACTGGAAATGTGTTGTACAGACATAGATGGAAAATTTCACCAACAACTTTAACTAACCCGGTAATGGACTTAATAATATCAAGAGAACAAGAACTGCAGCTTCTTACTTCACTCACTGAGATTTCCCTTCTTACTTATTTTTTACCATACCATTATAATGTTATGGGTATTCTTTATCAATTAGTGAAATAATAAATGATAACCGGAATTAGTATGATAACAAACACACTACAAGTGACACTATATTAATAAAACAATATAATATTAATGTTAAGAAATTTCAAATTAGTTATGCATATCAAATACTATGAAAAATTGTTTTCAGAACTTTTTCCTTTAGTTTATTTATTGATTATGTTCAGATTTAATAGTTTTATCTATTTAAGTAGTTTTACATATAGGTCATAGTATCACAGCAGTTAGAGACAGAAAAGACCTAGTAGGACATCTTTTCCAGGTCCCTGCCAAGGCAGGATTGTTCTTTTACAGTGCTAGTTTATTTTAACATATTGTCCAGTGTAAAGTACTGATCCTATATCAGAATCTGCACAGCAGACTCTTGTGGGAGCACAAGTGACTGAAGTCAATGGGACTGTTCAGGAGTAAGAGCCCTTCTGCAAGACTCAGTTGTAGGATCAGGACCTAGTTTTTAAAAAGTCTCAAGCAGTGGAGTTTTCAGCTCTTTCTTTGAACTATTAGTTACATAAAATATTCCTACTATCAGTTGTTATTGGCTGTTAACTCTATCTTTAAAGTTAGTATTTAATTATTAGTTACTAGTAGGGCTGTTGATTAATCGCAGTTAACTCACGCGATTAAAATTAGCTGTGATTAAAAAAGATTAATCACATTGTTAAACAACAGAATACCAATTGAAATGTATTAAATATTTTGGATGTTTTTCTACATTTTCAAATATATTGATTTCTAATACAACACAGAATACAAAGTATACAGTTCTCACTTTATCTTATTATTTTTGATTACAAATATTTGCACTGTAAAAATGATAAAAGAAATAGTATTTTTCAATTCACCTCAGACAACTACTGAAGTGCACTCTCTTTATTGTGAAAGTGTAACTTACAAATGTTTTTTTTTTGTTACATAACTGTACTCAAAACCAAAACATTGTAAAACTGTAGAGCCTACAAGTCCACTCAGTCCTACTTCTTGTTCAGCCAATTGATAAGACAAACAAGTTTGTTTACATTTACGGGAGATACTGCTGCCTGCTTCTTATTTACATTGTCACCTGAAAGTGAGAACAGGCAGGCATTCTCATGGCACTTTTGTAGCCAGCGTTGCAAGGTATTTACGTGCCAGATATGCTAAACATTCATATGCCCCTTCATGCTTCCATGCTGATGACGCTTGTTAAAAAAATAATGTGTCAATTAAATTTGTGACTGAACTCCTTGGGGGAGAATTGTATGTCTCCTGTTCTGTTTTACCTGCATTCTGCCATATATTTCATGTTATAGCAGTCTCAGATGATGACCCAGCATATGTTCGTTTTAAGAAAATTTTCACAGCAGATTTGACAAAACGCAAAGAAGGTACCAATGTGAGATTTCTAAAGATAGATACAGCACTCGACCCAAGGTTTAAGAATCTGAAGTGCATTCCAAAATCTGAGAGGGATGAGGTGTGGAGAATGCTTTCAGATGTCTTAAAAGAACAATACTCTGATGCGGAAACTACAGAACCCGAACCACCAATAAAGAAAATCAACCTTCTGCTGGTGGCATCTGACTCAGATGATGAAAATGAACATGCGTCGGTCCGCTCTGCTTTGGATCGTTATCGAGCAGAACCCATCATTAGCATGGAAGCATGTCCTCTGAAATGGTGGTTGAAGCATTGAGGGATATATGAATCTTTAGTGGGTCTGGCACATAAATATCTTGCGATGCTGGCTACAACAGTGCCATGCGAATGCCTGTTCTCACTTTCAGGTGACATTGTAAACATGAGGTGGGCAGCATTATCTCCTGCAAATTGTAACCAAACTTGTTTGTCTGAGCGATTGGCAGAAGTAGGACTGAGTGGACTTGTAGGTTCTAAAGTTTTACATTGTTTTATTTTTGAATAAATTATTTTTTGTACATAAGTCTACATTTGTAAGTTCAACTTTCATGATAAAGAGATTGCACTACGGTATTTGTATTAGATGAGTTGAAATATACTATTTCTTTTGTTTTTTACAGTGCAAATATTTGTAATAAAAAATAAATATAAAGTGAGCACTGTACACTTTGTATTCTGTGTTGTAACTGAAATCAGTATATTTGGAAATGTAGAAAACATCCAAAAATATTTAAATGGTATTCTATTATTGTTTAAAAGTGCAATTAATCACGATTAATTTTTTTAATCGTGCGATTAATCGCAATGAAGTTTTTTAAATCGCTTGACAGCCCTAGTTACTAGCTATTGCTAAATAAATGGTGAAGCGCATTTTTACATCTTCTAGGTCACATATAGCATGCGAAATGTACAGACATTTCTGAACTGTATTGTATCATCAGTTATATCAGTTTTTAAGCAAAACTCCCCATTGTCTTCAAAGGCAACATGACCCTACATGTATATATGCAAGTGCTTACTTATGCAGCTGTACACCAGGAGGGATGGGACCATCTGCAAATGGCCTTAATCTGAATCACAATTGTACCTCCCTGTATCTTTACGTTTGTTCCTGACTCCATCCTCTCTAATCTCTCTCAGCACCTTCTTTATCTCTTGCTACACCTGTTTCTTTGTCATTTGGTAACTGACCCTCATAGTGACAGGCCTTGGTTGGATCATAACATAAGCCTTCATCATGGTGTTAGGGAAATTAGTTTTAGCCTGGTGTCTGATAATGGATACTTGTGGTCTATTCCTGATCCCAGAGTTTTGCCATTAACTTCAATGTATGCAAGAAAGAGCCTTATATATCCTGAATTCTAATTATAAATTTATTTGTAATAACATTGGTTTGTTCTGGGATTAGAGGGGAGACCATGTGAAACCAAGCATTTATTTTGTCACAGATTAAAGATTTTTTAACAAGTTATCTCAGCACTAACTGTAGTTTTGGGTCATTTCAGTTAATGTATGAACTTATGATATGTTGAATGTATGAAACCATCAGCAAGTGTTTTAAGTTAAATCCACAACAGCACTGGAGCAGTTTCCATTCCCTGCCCTGATGCTAATGGTGACTATAGGGCCAAACAAGCTTCAGCACAAATTGGAGCAGCCTAGGAACTGCTCTAACTTGCACCCGCATTTAATGCCCTCAAGAGCCCATTACATAAAGGACAGCTGAAACACAGCATGCTCTGGTCCTGCCTGCTCCAGTTCTTTTAAACCCTCCCCATTGTCTGTGTCATGGGACACCTGAAGCAAGTGGCATAGAGCCAGCTACATTGGCTTTATGCCACCTGGCATGTGGCAACTTCCCAACAAATTGGAATACTCAGAGGCAGCTTTCTGACTGTTCCGCACTGCCTGAGCAGTGAAAAGCAGTTGAAAGAAAAAGGAGTCTGAGCTACTCTCTCTTTAACTTTATCTTAAAATGGCTACCAATTTAAAGCCCTGATTCCGGGAAGCACCCATATTCAGGAAGGGCATTTGAGCCCACGCTTAATTTTAAGTGGGTAATTTAAGTCTCACTGAAGTCAATGGGACATAAGAACATGCTTTTAAGTTAAGTACTTTCCTTAATAGAAATGGAGGTGAGCATGTGCTTAGTACCTTCCTGAATTGAGGCCTAAGGTAGGGCCCCGATGCAATCTTCTCTTGTTCTCTTTATGCTGCTGCGCGGGGTGCTAATTAATCAATACTCTATTCTGCAAGTTAAGTAGTTAGTAAACTTTTTGTACAGCTGCATCTTGAAGTCAGTTCAGTGGGACAAGAGACTGTATGGGTCTTCTTCATACTTAATCCCACACTCTCATTCAAAAACCAGGATAGCAATCTCAAATTTTATCAAGTGCTGGCTTTCCTTTGGGTTGTGAACACATGCAACGATCATCTTCCAGTCATATTCACACAGCATTACACCTCCAGCTCCAATCTTTGTTGTCACAGTGCAGTCTCATTAAGGAATTATTCCGGTTTGATTTATTATTTGCTGAATAATGATGGCAACTATATAGTGTTTAAATGAATGCTTAAATAGATTAATACACATTCTTTCAATATTGTCTGCAAAGAATATGTAAATCTTGGAACTATGCATTGTGAAGACTATCTATTATTAGTACTGCTTACCTTTATAGGTGTTCTCCCTTGGCATAGGCAGTTCAGGTAGCAGCTTTGGAGGCAGAGGCCTACGAAGTAGTTTTGGTTGCTCAAGCATTTTCGGCCTAATAATTATTCTTGCTGGACAACTGAGGAGGATTCAAAAGTTTGAAAATTCTAGATATAAGGCAAACAAAAGAAAAATCATCTCTGGATTTATGTATTGACTTGTAAATGTCTGCCCAGATATAGTCGCTGTTAGAAAACACCAGTATAAATGGATGAAAATGGTATTCTGTTTACTTAGTAACTAATTTGACAATTTGCTAATTATCAGCAGCGTTTTTGGAAGCTAAAAGGTGACATTATTAAAAAATAATCTAGCTGTTCTGTTAATTTAGGTTTGGAATACTCATATTAGAGAATGACGTATGACACCGTTGTTATAAAAGTGGTTGGTTCTGTCTCTAAGAAGCAAAGGGTGAAAAAAAGGAAACCTAATTTTCGCTACATGAAACTTTTTGAAAGATCACAAAAAGCAGCATTTCTAAACATGGATAAACAGATGTATAGTTAATAATAAAAAATCAATTTTAAATTGGTATTTCTTAATGCTGTGGGTAACAGTTAATTCTTCTGATTTAGTGAAGCAGCTGGGCATAAGCATATTATACTTGTGTTCCATGCTTCAGATTGGCTTCTCATCTGCTTCAGCATGTTTTCAAGACCATGGATTTTAATTTATAAAAGTTTAATTTTAATCTGTGTTTTAAGTGCACCATAAATTGCTATTATAAAATATGTATGTGGTGGTGTACAGTACATGAAAACAGAGATAGCCTCTGTCCTAAGAAATGTATCTATCTTGTAGATTTTTGGAGATGCAACACATTGGTGAGAATGATTTTATTTTTTTGTTTGTAATTGTAAACTCACTCTTTAGGGCCTAGTGGCAAAAGGTGATTATAAAAGAGACTTTAATGAAGAGAAAGTGGTAGCTTGGTACACTGGCCTGGGGACAGCATTCCATGCATAGGGGTATTCCTGGAAAAAGCCCACACAGATGGGAGTGAGAGAAAGGAAGAAAGAAACAAGTAATTGAGACTGGCATCATTCAGAGATTATAAAGTAAGAAGGGACCACTGTGATCATCTAGATCTAGTCTAGTCTGACCTATAGAACACAGGGCATTAGGCTTTCCTGAATTAATTCCTGCTTGAATAAGAGCACATCTTTTAGAAACACATCCAATCTTGATTTAAAAATTGTCAGTGATGGGGAATCTACAACAACCTTTGGTAAATTCTTCCAGTGATTAATTACAGTTACTGTTCAAAATGTGTGCTTTATTTCCAGACTACATTGTCTAGCTTCAGCTTCCAGCCAGTGGATCTTCTTATACCTTTGTCTGCAAGATCAAAGAACCCACTATCAAATTTTTGGTCCCCATGAATTACTTATAAACTATGACTAAGTCACCTCTTAACCTTCTCTTTGTTAAGATAAATAGATTGAGCTCTTTGAGTCTATCACGATAAGGCAGGTTTTACATCCTTTAATACTCTTTTGGTCCTCCTCTGAACCCTCTCCAATTTATCAACATCCTTCTTGAATTGTTGGCACCAGAACTGGACACAGTATTCCAATAGCAGTCACACCAGTGCCAAATACAGAAGTAATATAGCCTCCTTACTCTTACTTAAGATTCCCATTTTACTCCTGAGGGAATTCTGCATCAAAAAATAAAAACAAATGTGCCAAAATATAAAATAATGCTGCACACAATATTTTTAAAAAACTGCAAAATTCTGCAGATTGTATTTGTCAATAAATGTGGAAGTTTTAGCATGGCAGTGGGGAGCACAGGCCACTGGCTACATGGAGGTGGGAGATCACCCTGCACTCCCCCTACCCCCCAGGACACGGACTCAGTGGTGAGGCTGTACTTGACCCTGACATAGTGCAAGGGCCGGGCTTGCCCCAGAAACACCTGAGGCCCTGCCTCTCCACATCAGGTGTGGGCAGGCAGGCTCAGCCTAGCAGGATCCGAGTGTGGAGGGGCTTAGTGTGGGGGGGGGGTCCAGGTGTGGGGCGAGAGGGTTCTGTGTGGGGCAATCTGGGTGCGGGGCTTCAGTGGGGGGGGGGTCTGCGTGCAGGGGGATCTGGATGCACAGCACCTTGTTGGGGAGGTTCAAGGTACAGGGGCTGGGGAGGGCTGGGTACAGGAAGTAAGGCTTGGTTGTGGGAGGTTCAGATGTGGGTGGCTCAGTGCGGGGGATTATGGTTGCGACGGGGAGGTAAGGCTCAGCAGAGGGTCCAGGGAGGTCTGGATGCACAAGGGTTGGGCAGATGGGGGGTGGGTCTGACCTGGCACCAGCCAGGGTGTCCCCAGCCCTCCTTTCCCTCCATAATTTACCTCTCTGCCAGCTGCTCCAGATGCCCAAAACGACATGCCTATGCTGCTGGGGAGGGGCACATGACTGCTCTTGTGGCTTCCCTTTGCTTCCCTGTCAGAAAGTCATTTTTCTGTGAGAAAGCAAAAAAAAATCTGCGGAAGCCATGAATTCTGCGCACACTCAGTGGTGCACAATTCCCCTAGGAGTACCATTTATACATCCAACGATTGCATTAGCCTTTTTGGCCACACAATCACACTAGAAGCTCATGATCAGCTGATCATCCACTACTATTCCAAACCTTTCTCAGTGTCACTGCTTCCAAGGATACAGTCCCCATCCTATAAGTATGAGCTACATTTTTGTTCCTAGATGTATAACTTTACATTGGCCCTATTGAAACACATCCATGACCTGTCCTCTTCATTATTTACCATCTCACAATCTTTGTGTCATCTGCAAACTTTATCAGTGATGATTTTATTTTTCTTCCAGGTCATTGATGAAAATGTTAAATATTTTAGGGCCAAGAATGGCTTCCGGTAGGATCTTATTAGAAACACACCTGCTTGATGAAAATTCTCTGTTTAAAATTATATTGAGACCTATCAATTAGCCATTTTTAATCCATTTAATGTGTGCCATATTAATTTTGTATTGTTCTCATTTTTTAATCAAAATGTTGTGTGGTACTAAGTAAAATGGCTTACAGAAGTCTAAGTATATTATATCAACTCTAAAACCTTTATCAACCAATCTCATGAAAAAAAGATATCATATTAATTTGACAGGATCTATTTTTCATAAACCCAGGTTGATTGGCATTAATTATATTACCCTCATTTAAATTCATTATTAATCAAGACCCATACCAGCTGCTCTATTATTTTTCTCAGGATTTAGGTCAGGCTGACAGGCCTATAATTACTCAGGTTGTCCCATCTACTCCTTTTAAACATTGGCACAATATTAGCTTTCTTCCAGACTTCTGGAATTTCTCCAATATTCCAAGAGTAATTGAAAATCAAAGTTAATGATCCAGCGAGCTTTTTGGCCAGCTCTTTTAAAACTCTTGGATGCAAGTTATCTGGCCAAGCTGATTTAAAAATGTCTAACTTCAGTAGCTGCTGTTTAACATCCTCCTGGATTATTATTGAATTAGAAAGTGTTTCATTATCTTCATGATACATCAGCTATTTTTTCCACCAAATAGAGAACAAATATTTATTGAACACTTCTGCCTTTTCTTCATTATTTTATTGACAATTCTACCATTTCTATCTAGTAATGGACTAATACCATTGTTAGGGTTAATTGATGATGCAGAAGTGTCAAGGGGAGACAGGATAGGAGACAAGGTCTATAACATAGGCAGGAACACAGCTCTAGAAGACACTGAAAGGCAGGACTAGAAGTTTAAGTTATATACAGTGTGTAAAGAGGCTCATAGAAAGATTAATGAAGTTTTCATGTGACTCTGGGCTTACATGCAAGTGAATCTCTGTTGGTTTGCTTTCAAATAATGCAATATTTGGTTTTGAATGATTTCATATGAAATTAGCATCAATTTGATGGTTTCATTTGGAAGTCATTTTGACTTTGTTCAAACCTGAATATATGTCCTGGACTACACACAAAGATTTACTGGTTTAACTAAGTGTGATGTACCAATTTAGCTAAACTGGTGCAACTTTGTGTGTGAAGAAACCCTCAAAGTGAAACAACAATTAAGAGATGACTTGATCATAGTCTGGAAAGTACCTACATGGGGAAGAGATTTCTGATAGTAGACTGTTCTTTAATAAAGCAGGGGGAAAAAAAAGCATTAACGAAATCCAGTTCGCAGAAGCTAGATCAATTCAGGCTAGAAATAAGGCACTTTTTTGTTGTTTAAAAAACACTGAGAGTATTTAACCCCTGGAACAACTCACCTAAGGACAAGGTGGATTCTCCTAGACTAGTTATTTTTCCAAAAGATAAGCTATAGCTCAAACAAAAGTTATGGGCTTGATGCAGAAATTACTGGGTAAGGTTCTATGGCCTTATGCAAGTAGTCAGACCGGATTATCATAATTATCCTTTCTCATCTTAAAAAACTATTAAGTTGAAGAATATATAAACCCTTGCAAGCAAAACTGCAAGTTTGACACAGCTGTAGTAACAAGATCTCTTTTCTCATATCTAATTCTAGCACTCTTCTTCAATCATGTTATAAATTTGCACTAAAGGCCAAATGCTTTCAATGTCTTTCACTCTAAATTTCCTCTCTTCATCTTTTGTGATTAATACAGTATGGGACGCAAATCAGTTTAAAGTGTGAACCAGATTCTATTTGGCTTTAATAATTGCTAAATATCAGAACCACTATGCTCTGTATATAGCAGAAATAGATTTATACCCACATTAGGGTGACCAGATGTCCTGATTTTATAGGCATAGTCCCAATATTTGGGGCTTTTTCTTATATAGGCCCCCCACCCCCTGTCCTGATTTTTCACACTTGCTATCTGGTCACCCTAACCCACATGTTATTAACTGCCCAGGACAAAGCACCTGCTTTGCATGTTAAATGAAAAAGTAACTTTTTCCATAAATGTATACTTTGAAAAGAATATTACAATTAGGGACAAATAAAGGTTTCAGAGTAACAGCCGTGTTAGTCTGTATCCGCAAAAAGAAGAACAGGAGTACTTGTGGCACCTTAGAGACTAACAAATTTGTTAGTCTCTAAGGTGCCACAA